TGATAGGTAGTCGTACCCGGCTTTCTAGGCTATCGCCACTGCAGTTTTTCCAGTTAAACTGAAGCGATACTCATCAATGATCTCCTAGTGGTAGGACTCAGACTTAAGATGAGCGTTTTCTTCTTCAAATTTATCTAACTTAGCACATTCTTCGCCTAGCCGGCGCCTTACATACACAGCTGCCTCCTTCGCTTTAGCTAACGCCTCGACATGCTCCTTGGCTCTGAGAGCTTCCTCCAACCGTTGCTTGAGTCCATTGACCTCAAGAGTACTCGGGATCGACGTCTCTCTGGCTCGCTCCGGGCTAGCCTCTCTTTCTCCCTTAAAGAAATAACCTCCCCAAGGAGTCTGTGATTGGCGATCCAGACCCGATCCATCCGCCGGTACAACTCCCCTTCTACTAAGGCCCCTCGAATAAGATAACTACATAGACAGTTATGGAGGCCGACGTTCGGGACCTGCTATAAATATTCATCATCTTGAGGAAGCCAGAATTGCTCTACCACCTTTCGCTGATTTCGGCCTGAGCCCAAGACGTCCTCCGGACGTCAAGATGTTCTTTAGGGTCAAAGCAAAAGCCTGGATCGGGCTCTTGTCCATGTTGATTCCCGACTCCAGTAAGCCCGATAATGTATTCCCTCATCTCATTCTAATTTCCACCACAAACGTCAGTCACGAGGTGAGGAAAAGGAAATTCTAGCCTAGAGGGAGGTATTATCTCCTCCTCGGATGGCTCTTTCCCCTTACGAGTCGGACCATGATGGCTATCAGACGACTCTGCCCCTCCAGCAACTCTCATCTCGGCTCCCTCTCTTTGAGAAGCCTAGGCTTGTTCTCCCGAAGACGACTCATTCAAATGACCAACATTCGCCTCGGTCGGCTCGGCTTCTGCTTGCACCCCCTGCTCAGCTTCTCCTTGAGACGTTTGTTTTGTATGCCTCCGCCTTCGTCTCGAGTTTAGAGGGGGATCGGCCGTAGGAACAATAGTCACCGGCGCTGCCTCTGCTACCATGTGATGAGAGCTGGGGCGATATCAAAGTCTTGATTGGTATAGGGCTCGTGCGACACACTGACGACCCTCAGAACTAACCTATCAAGCAGACTCTCAAATCGACGAGAGCCAGCAAACCCTGTAATCATGTCAAGCTCGACCCTCTCAGTTTCTGATAGTGCACCCCTTAAGAGTGCTTTCCTCTTTATATCCGGTCATTTGGAACAATCCATTTCTAAGTCAACCCCAACAACCAACACTAATCTTTCCTTCCAATCCTTATGGGATTCAAGAAGATTGGTGATGAGTTTGAACTTCCCCGCCATATGGAAATAAAAATGAGCCTCTTTTTGGGTTACTTTCACGGTCACCAAACGGCCGAAGACCTTCAAAGAAGGCTTAATCCCCAACCAACGACAAATCACCACGAACCCCACTAAAACTGCAATGAGATTTGGCTTCATCTGTGCCGGTGATACTCCTAGCGCCTCGAACACTTGCTTGATAAAAGGATGCAAATGCAATCTTAAGCCACACTTCAAGTGTCTCGCATAAAGCGGATGTCGCTCCGGCCCATGGTCGAAGATAACCTCTGACGCAGCAGGAGCCACCAAGTCATATCCTTCGGGGATGCCGAATCTCTTATAAAGCCCCCTCTTCTGTGGCAAGGTCACTTTAGAACGAATATTCTCTATGAAGCTTCATCGGTTGCATGGATCAGAAGCCATTGAAGAAAAGAAGAGGAGATTAATCGCTAGGAAAGATGGACGAAGAAGAGGAACAACTCCCTGAGAAGAAATTTGAAAAAGCAATAGCCGCCGTTCTTTGGGCCCTACCCCTATTTAGGGGCAACTCGCTCTTCGAATGCAAGAATTCGAACCGATGGATTTAGCTGTATCCAACGGTCCAAATTTATTTGCAGAATTCGAAGCGCCCTCAAGGAGTGAAATACGAGCCATCCACCTCGAACAACCCGTTATCTGCCACGAAAAGTGGAGCTGCAGCAGTAAAGGAGACGTATGATGATGTCAGCCACGTTGTTTCAGAAGAGGCTTTTTAGTTTTTATTTACATCAACCACGTCTATCCAAGTGCAATATTTTTTATTTTCGCTCGGACCCCGCTAAAGCCGCCTTCAAGCGAAAGAGACCAACTGTTATGGTGTTTCCACTCGCTGACATATAATGTATTAATAATGAAAGCTTTAAGATATTTCAATGCATCATGCCTCAATCAACTGGCTCACCCAAGCCCTATAAAGAGTTTGACTTAGCTAACTCGTCGAGTCGACATTCCCTCGTGGCAACACGAAACGCGGAGTTACTCGACCCTCTGGCCAAGGACAATTCGTCGAGGACCCACTCGATCACCCGTCCAACGCCTTACGAAACCGACTCAAAAAACGTTACTTCTCGACAAAGCTATTCACACTGACAACACGTCCACCTCGCATTTAATGCGTGTCAGGAGCATCATGCCTTTAACCTCGGTGTATTCATGACTCATTAGACCACGTAGGCTCTGCAACGCCGCTGATCACTTCCTATTTAATACCGAGGTGATCTACTCGCTAGTTGTCAGCCGACACCTGTAAAACAGAGGCTGACTCAGCTGCCAGCCCACACTTCATCACCGCCCTACTGTACTCAACTGAAGTGACAAGACTACTCCTTACGCACTGAGTATAAATACAGGTACCATTCTAATGTAAAAAGGGTTGATAAATCGGATCTTCTAACACCAAAACTGCACAATAAAGAAGACATCAGTTCTTTTTCTACCCCACTCAACTAACTTGATCGTTGGAGGTACAATGGGGGAACCCAACCCCATCCTCTTACGGATTTCTACATGTGCAGGTTGTTCAACACCCCAACCCAAGAACGAGTCATAAAGTCAGAGAAGAAAGCGACCTCTCTTCAATACAAAACAAAACTGATCTTTTTATGGATCCAACTGACCGTGTGATCTTAGTCATCAATAGTATTCTATAACTTTGATTGTTGGATCTAGGTTTCATTTGACAGGAATAGTGAGTAAAATGTGATCATGCTGTGTTTCTTTTGTTATCTTAATCTGAAACTAACGTGTCACGCAAATTTTCGCAAACTTATTTGATAATGTTGGAGGAAATATCTGTTTGAGAAGCAATATATGGTAAATAATGAACTGTTTCTGCTGTTAACCATGAATGAAATAATGAAAGGAATTGTAATGATTGAAAAGTAGTTCAGATGAAATCTTATCATCACCTGGCTGATGTAAAACTGATTATCATTGCTCATAATGAGAAACTCACATCCTTATTAATTGTCTAAATATGAAGATAATCATATCAATGTTTGTCTTGCCCTGGGCCCGCGACCCCGTTGTCATGAAATGAGCTCTAAGTTTAGCACGTTTGACTTGATCCACTACCAAAAAATGGCTACCCAATTTTACACTGGACTCTCATGACCCATCATTTAAACATGTTCATACTCTTTTATGACGTGAGACTAGATTAGTGAGGCATCAGAATCACGCCACCTTACATACATGGTGAAAGTGAATCTTACTTTCGACTCAACTTGCATGACCCATCATTTAAACCCGTCCATATTCTTAGTTTATTGATGTGGGGCTAAATTAGTGAGGCCCCACAACCACCCTAGCTTACACATGCGACGGAAGCAAATCTTATATTCAACTTCTATGACCCGTCATTTAAATCCATCCATAATCTCTTAGTTTCTTGTTGTGGGACTAAATTAGTGAGGCATTACAATCACCCCCACCACGATGTCTTCTTCGCAACATGACAATTGGTCTATCCTAGTATTAACAAGCGATGTGGATTCTAAAACTGGCTCTTGTTCATGCGATGCATGGCACCACAATCACTCTACCGTACACATGCAACGGAAGCTACTCATACACTCGACTTCTATGACCCATCATTTAAACACATCAATATCCTCTTAGTTTCTTGTTATGAGACTAAATTACTGAGGAATCAAAGTCACCCCACCATGACGTCGTCATCGCAACATGACCAGTGGTCTATCCCAGTATTACTAAGAAATGTGGATTCTAAAGGTGGCTCTCATTGCACTCGTGCGATGTATCACTTATTGATGCATAGTACTTAGTTCTACTTGGGACTAAATTACTTATAGACTGTAGTACTACTTAATAGACTGCAAGATCTTATTTGGATATACTACTTATAGACTCTAGTACTTATAGACTGTAGTACTTGTAGACTGCAAGGCATCACAATTTTACTTTACTCGATATACTACTTATAGACTGTAGTACTTATAGACTGCAAGATCTTATTTGGATAATGTTCTTTTTAAAGAATGGTATGGTTACAATACATACATTGTGTAACTAAGAAGCTTACACCTACCAACGCAAATACATGCTCAGCCATCTATATTGATGATGCAAACCGTTTGACTTGTACAGCATAAAATCCATGGAGATAAGAGCACAGGAATTGAGATTTCTAATCTATGCATATTTGGCTTGGAGATGAAGAACATGCAACTCCCTCAAGTAGGCTGAAAAATCTCAAACCTCGTGATCTTTTTATCCACTAGGGGTTGGTAATTTACATATAACAATGTACGTTTGGATCAATAATGCGGATGGGCAAATGTGTATTTACATAGGCAGGTGTAAACATCTTAGTTACACTGTCTTATACCCTTGCCCTTTATAAGGGTATTATATTCCAATGGTAGTTTGTTGAAGTTGGGTCTTACATTTTTGGTTTCCCCTAGTCAAGAGTAGGGAAAAGATGTCTATTTTTCTTCGTATATAATTGAAAATACTGATAGTTTAATATCTGTATTTATACATATTAGATGCTTTCTATAGCAAGTCCTTAAAAAGAAACATATACGAGAGGAAAGTTTAGCTGTGTAATGTATACATAGCTGTTAATGCACCAGCATATAAAAACCTTCTTTTGTGCTCCTTGCTTGTTCTTAGTTATTTTTTTCGTTTGTTTCTCTGTGAAGATGAACCTGGCAAGCAGGTCAGAAGTGCAATCAGGATAAAGAATACTAGTAAATCTCATGTAGCATTCAAGGTATCTCTTATGCTTTTAGGTGAATTTAACCTCAATTTCTAGATGCCAAGATTATCCATTTGCATACTATTTTAGCTACTTATAGAACCTCAACTTTATTTGTTTTCAGTTTCAAACAACTGCACCAAAAAGTTGCTTCATGCGCCCTCCTGGTGCTGTACTTGCTCCTGGTGAAAGCATCATAGCAACTGGTATGTGATCTGGTTGTTAGATTTCTTACTTTTTTGTGTACATTTAAGACAAATTCTAGTTTGTTAGGAATTTTCTTTGAGTGACCTTTAACATTCATTTTTGTTGCCAGTCTTCAAATTTGTGGAGCATCCAGAGAACAATGAGAAGCCAACGGATCAAAAGTGCAAGGTTAAGTTTAAGATTATGAGTTTGAAGGTGAAAGGACCTATGGAATATGTACCAGAAATGGTGAGTTGTTACTCGTGTCATCCTTTTTATGTTTAATCCAAGTTATTTGCATAGTTAATATGTTTATCTTAATTTAATGCATTGGAGATGCAAGTCTTATGTAGAAATGTTGGTGGCTTTGCTAACTGATATCGTACAGAAAAGAGCCATCGGAAGTCCTTGCGATTTTAAAATTGGAACAAATTTGTCTCAAACTGCAGCAGAAGAGTCGTGCTGGTGTAGAAGGGACAAAACTTTCATTTTCTTTTGTCAAAGAA